ATTGAATGGTATTGTCCAATTCTTTAACCCTATCCTGGGTATTTTGCACTTTTGCATCTATTTTCTGGGTCACCGAGCCTATCTGAGTTTCTAGCTGGCTACAGATATGATTTAGTTTGTCACAGTCCTCTGACAGCCTAGTCTCTAATGCCTCAGACATGGAGGATCTCTCTGTGTTTATCTTGTCATAAATATGCTGCATCTCATCTTGGGTAACAGACAACTCTGTCTTTAGTGTATTGGACACAGAGCCAAGATTATCATCCAATTTCTGTTCTACTTGCTACACAATTGTGGTTTGACCTAATCTGTTCTCCAAAACCTCATTGCATAAAGCTGTTTTTTTACTGTAAGTAGGTGGTGAGGTCATCCTTGTCTCTGTTTCTGGGGAATCTGGCTAGTACTATTATTTGTACCAGCAAGCTAACCACCATTACAGCATATAGGACAGTAATTGTCAAATTAGCATCCTCCTCAAACATTGAATTCATGTAATAAGCAAAAATATTACCAATTTTAGCAAATGATAAATATTCTGCCATAATTTTACCTGATTTCTACTCCAGATGCAGTAACTATCTTTCACCAGCGGGTGGCACAGGCGTTCAGCTACTCGGTGTGGCGTTTGGCAGCAGTTGGTGGCAGCAGTGGAGAGAGGTCACAAAGTGGCTGCGCTTATCTTAGAGAGTATACGGCCTTGCGGCCGCAACCACTAACCACCTCTCACTCTACATCACCCTGACCACGCCTGCAAGACCATGCCCTAAGTAGGCATGGCTACAGCTTCCCCTACAGCCACCCCCAATTTTTCATGAATGCTGTGATAATACACACACACACACACACACACACACACACACACACACACCTATATACCACACATTTTCATATCCTTCCAAATTTACAGGAAGTCTGATTCCAGAATATTCTTGTTGCAGTCTGCAGGATACTCAGTCTGCAGATGCTTGAGCCTCTTACATAAATGTCATATGTAGTATTTGCATATGACCTATGCATGCATACACACACACACACACACACACACACACACACACACATGATAAGGTTCAAAGTTGTGGTCTTGAGAATGCTAGGAAAGAGCTGTAACACTGAATAACAACTCCCATCCTCTTCCAAATACTTCAAATCATAATACCTAGCACAATAAAAGTACTACGTAAGTACTGTATCTTTTAGAGAATGATGGGAAGTGTCTATATATAGACATTGCACTTACTTTTCCTGAATGTGTTCAGCCTAGGTTGATCGATACGAAAAATTTTCTTCTTTTTCCCCTAAATTTACACCTGGGGGGGTGTCTGTCTACCAACTAGATTACCTTTTGGCCCTTGCTCCCTAGTATACATTGTGGGGTTTTGTTCTGCATAGTTTTCATTTTCATTTTCTCATGAACTGAGTCCTTTGTTAGGTACTTTGGTGATTTGAGTGACACTGATCCCCCACATAGGTACATATGTGAATGCTTGGTCCTTAGTTAGTGGAACTGTTTGGAAAGAATTAGAGCTGTGGCCTTGTTAGAGGAGGTGTGTAAGTGGAGTTTTCCTTTCCTGGCAGACGCTTCAGAAATAACTACTCAGAGTCTTAATATTAATTGTACATGCTTAGCCATAACACAGACTTGTTACTAGATAACTTAACATTTAAATTAACCCATATTCCTCCTTCCTTCCTTCTTTCTTCCTTTCTTTCGTTCTTCCTCTTTGGTTTTTCAAGACAGGGTTTCTCTGTGTAGCTTTGGAGCCTGTCCTAGAACTAGCTCTGTAGGCCAGTCTGGCCTTGAACTCAAAGAGATCCACCTACCTCTGCATGCCCCCCCCCACTCCTGACCCAGTGCTGGGACTAAAGGCGTGCATTACCACAGTCCAGCATAACTCATATTCCTTATCTATGCTTTGCCACGTGGCTAATGGCTTGTTACTTCATTTTCTACACAAATCCTGCTTCCTTGGTGTCTGGCTGGTATCTCCATTGACTCCACCTTCTTCCCAGACTCATCTGTTTCTTGTAACCTGAATAATAAAAACCCCAGAGACAGATTCTGGGGTTCAAGCTGAAGACCAGAAAAGTGAAGCAGCCAAGCCACTAGTGAGTTCTTAACTCTACCAAGACTAAGACAAGAGAGGGCAGGGCAGTCCTGTCAGCGTGACTGCCAACTGCAATGCTATCCACCAAAGCTCAGACTGCCCTGAGATTGCACGGAGCTCCTGCCTTAATTCCTCTCTAGTGCTGGGATTAAAAGTGTGTCTCATGGGCTGGAGAGATGGCTCAGAGGTTAAGAGCACTGACTGCTCTTCCAGAGGTCCTGAGTACAGTTCCCAGCAACCACATGGTGGCTCGCAACCATCCGCTATGAGATCTAGTCTGGTGTGCAGATATACATGGAAGCAGAATGTTGTATACATAATAAATAAATAAAATAGAATCTTTAAAAAAAAATAAAATAAAATACTTAAAAAAGGTATGTCGCACTGTGTAGACCTGAAGATCTGTCTGCCTCTACCTCCTGTTCAGGTCAAAGATGTGTACCTACCACACGTGGTAGAAACACAATGGGGGTTCTTTTTGTTTTTGTTTTTGTTTTGTTTTGTTTTTATATTTTAGATTAAGTATATTTCTGTTTATAAAATGTCTTCCAGAAATAAATGGCTACTGGACAGGATCGAGTGGTTGCTCTTGTAGATATGGATTGTTTTTTTGTCCAAGTGGAACAACGGCAAAATCCTCATTTGAGGAATAAACCTTGTGCAGTCGTACAGTACAAATCATGGAAAGGTGGTGGGTACGTATTATTGTGTGTGTGTGTGTGTGTGTGTGTGTGTGTGTGTGTGTGTGTGTGTGTGTGCGCGCGCGCGCACACATATCTCTGATTCAGTTAAGCTGGCTGGCCAGCAAGCCCCAGGGATCTACCTGTTTCTGTGAGTCCTGGTGGTTACAACTCAAATCTGCTTGCTTGCATGGCAGACATTTTACTGACTGAACCATCTCACCAGTCCCTCTTAGTATTAAAAAAAAATTTTTGTGTGTGTGTTTTGTCCACATCTATGTCTGTGTACCACTTGCATACAGTACCCACAGAGGACAAACTAGGATGCTGGATCTGCTGGGATTGGAGTTACTGGTGGTTGTAAGCTACTATCTGGGTGCTGGGGATCAAACCCGGGTAAAAACTCTTAACCATCACCCCAGACCCCACAAGTATTTTAATATATGGAAACTCAATGGTTCTGTTCTAGGTCTTGTTTTTAAGACTTCTGAACTGCTGTGTCTGGGATTGAATAATAGCATCTGTGGTCACAAAATTTCTAATTTTATTATATGATTTCTAATTTTATTATATGTTTATAGCCTACTTCTGCTTAAAGTTTGTCATTGTTGAGATCATGTAATATTTTTGATTTTTGTTTCCTTTACTCCCCTCTAACTGTAGAATTATTGCAGTGAGTTATGAAGCTCGTGCGTTTGGGGTCACTAGAAACATGTGGGCAGACGATGCTAAGAAGTTATGTCCAGATCTTCTACTGGCCCAAGTTCGTGAATCCCGTGGGAAAGCTAACCTCACCAAGTAAGCAAAAAACATTGTAAAGGAACATAGAGGAGTTAGGAAGAGTTTTGTGGGTATGGAAGTGTGGCACAGTGGTAGAACTGTTGCTTAGCGTTCATTAGATCCTAGGTTTACTACCAAGGACCACACTTAAAAAAAAAAAAATTACAGATAATTCTCATTACTGCTAGCTTGTTGCTCCTTGTAGTGTACTCAATAAACTATTGTTCAAACAAATATGAAAATGTTTTTCTGTCAGCATCTTGTGTCTATGAGTTAAATATTTTATGTGTCCTTCAGTGACAGTTTTATTATTGCTCTTAAGTTCTTGCCTTTAAGGAACTACTTATTTTCCTTGTTTAAAAATCAATCATAATTGAGGGAGAGAAAGATGGCTTGGTGATTAGAGGAGGCATTGCTCCTGGAGAGGGACCTGAGTTTGGCCCCAGCACCTACACTGGGCAGTTCACAGCTGTCTGTAACCCTAGGAGGCCTCTGGCTGCTGAGAGCACTTGCATCCAGGTTCATGTATTACACACAACACCCCATTCACATAATTTTAAAAATCAAAATCTTTTTTTTTTTTTAATCTGTTATTAGTCAGGAGGTAGTGGCACACACCTTTGAAGAAACAGGTGGATATCTGTGAGATCAAGGCTAGTCTGGTCTACTAGTTCCTGAATGGTCAGAACTGCTACACAGAAAAATCCTGTCTCCAAAAACCAAACCAAACCAAACAAAACATTGGTGATTATGGGGCTGGTGAGATAGCTCAGCAGGTAAAGGCACATACCACCAAGCCTAACAACCCGAGTTTGTACCTTGGACCCATATGCTGGAAAGAGAAGCAACTCCTGCAAGTTGTCCTCTGACACACATGCAAATGTGGATATACACATGATAGATACATAGATAGATAGATAGATAGATAGATAGATAGATAGATAGATAGATAGATAGAAAGAATATTTGTTATAATTGAACCTTATACTGGGCCAGTGAGATGGCTCAGTGGGTAAAGGTGTTTGCCACTAAGCATGATCTGAGTTCAATCCCCATGACTCACATGGTGGAAGGAGAGAACCAACTCTCAAAAGTTGTCCTCTGGCCTCCACACATGTACATGCATGTGCATATACTCACACAAACATAATAAAAACATTTAAAAATATAATTGAACAGTCTAGAGAGATGGTTTAGTAGTTAAAAACTTACTGCTCTTCCAGAGGACCCCAGCTTCAGTTCCCAGCACCAATATTGTAGCCCACAACTTTAACTCTAGTTGCAGGGAATCCAAAGACCTTTTCTGGCTCAGCAGATAGCAAGCACACATGGTACATGTGCACATAGAATAAAAGTAAGTCTGTAAGCAGTGGGGACACTCTGGAGAGTTTGCTCTGGTTAAGACTACTTGATATAAGTAATTTAAAAGACTTTGAAATTAACCCTGCAGTGGTGGCGCATTCCTTTAATCCCATCACTCAGGAGACAGAGGCAGGTGGATCTCTGTGAGTTCAAGGCCAGCCTGATTAATGTACAGATCAAGTTCCAGGAAGGACAACCAGGCTACACAGAGAAATCCTGTCCCCAAAAAATAGTCTGTGTGAAATTAATAGTTTTTCCATGGGAAGTTGAGTCAAAAAAATTGATGTTAGTGGGATATCCAGAATTGTTAGGAAGATGTAGGGAAAGAATTGAATAAATTCAAAGGAAATCACTTTATTGATTTTCTTTTTCCTTTTTGTTTGCTGTTCTACAACTTTATTTGACATTAAGTGGGTTAGTTCTCATCCACATTGACTAGATTTTTGAATGTGGTAAAAAGCACATATGTTACCAATGTATAGAGCTTATTTGGAGAGTCCTCATCCTCATTATTGGACAAGCAAACACAAATATGATATAGAGCATTCCCTTGGTCCAGACTGCTTATTTTACCTGGTATGACTGTGTACATCTGGAGTCCCCATCTCCTTCATAGCAAATTTCTGGATTTCTTGAGTGCCTGAGTGGCATGCTTCTTGAAGCTCATTCCATGCATGTGCTTGTGAATGTTGATGGTGTATTCTTGGGACACCTCCTCATTTATGGCAGAATGGCCGTTCTTATTGCCACCCTTCTTTGTTGGAGTCATCTTCCTGAGCCCAAGTTGGAAAGGACTTAGTTAGGTTAGTTCTAGAATGAGAGACATATATAGAGGTAGGCACAAGCCCTAGTCATTATAACAGTCCTGTCTTAGTCAGTATTCTATTGCTGTGAAGAGACACCATAACTATGGTGTCTTATAAAAAGAAAACATTTAGGGCTGGAGAGATGGCTCAGCCGTTAAAGGCTAGGCTCACAACCAAAAATATAAAAAGAAAACATTTAATTGTGGATTGCTTAGACTTTCAGAGGTTTATTGGTCCTTTATCCTCATGGCAGAGAGTATGGGAGCATGCAGGCAGAAATAGTAGCTCAGAGTTCTACATAGGATCCAAAAGCAGCAGGAAGAGGCAGAGACTCTAGGTCTAGATTGAGCATTTGAAACCCCAAAACCCACCCATAGTGATGCACTTCTTCCAACCAAGCTATACCTACTCCAACAAGGCCACACTTTCTAATCCCTGTCAAGCAGTGCCACTCCCTAATGACCAAGCATTCAAATATATTGATCTAAGGGGGCGTTCCTATTCAAACTACAAGTCCTAATAGTAAATACATATTGAGTATATATTGTAGGCAGTGTTCTTTATAGGGAATAGCTCTGTTTACTCTTACACTATTTCTAAGTAGGTACTAGTAAAACTGGGAAATCCTATCTTTTTATAGACTTTAAGATAATATATATATTTAGAGAGAGATCATATGTAGCTTTCTGAAAATAATTATTTGAAAGAAAACAAGCACAATGCAGTTTGGGAATCACAAAAGAGGCTGCCTAATTCCATCCCCTCCCTCACAGAGGGATATTTACTTGGTGGTCCCAAACACAATAAAATAGTGAAGTATTTGGCAAAGGGGCTGCAGAATCAGAAGAAGCTCAGCTTGTCATGTTGCTCTTTGTTAGTCTGGTAGGAAGACAGGGTCAAGGGCTTGTTTTCATGGGGGAGGGCTTTGAACACCCTCAAGTGCACAAATTTATCATCACCAATATCAACCTTGATAAAGAAATTGATGCCAGCCACCTCCTGTCACCTGAAGGATATGGCTTTCAAGACAGTGAACTTCTGATTTTCTTTCTCTTTGAGCTGAGATTTCACTTTGTCAGTGATCTCCTTTGTCTTGGCTGTGCCCGGCTGAGTGGCGAACATCATCTTGGCTGCTGTAGACCTGGTGACACAGACAGGAGCTAAGGACAGAGACAGCTAGGAGCCCTCTGTCTGGAAATTCTATCTTTACAGTGTTTTGGTTTTTTGAATTTTGTTTTTATTTTTGAAAGACAGGGTATCATATACCTGGGGGGTATATATGGATATACTCAGTCTGTATACACTTTGTTTTGTTTTTTTTTTTATACAACCTAGGATACCTGCCTAGGGAGTAGCACTGCCCTCAGTGAACTGGGCCTTTCCACAGCAAACATTAATCAAGAAAATGCCTCCTTAACTTGCCTTCAGGTCAATCTAATGGAGGCATTTTCTCAATTGAGGTTTTCTTCTCCCAGATGACCCTAGCTTGTGTCAAGTTGACAAAAGACTATCCCATGTCTTAAATAGATCTATGATGAGATGGTATTCCCCTAAAGCAGGTAGGCTACCTGCCCAAATGTGTCACCAAATTCTAGGTACTTGTCTTCATAATTTGAATGATAGTATGTCCAGAGCTTACACTAACTAATTACCATTGACTGAAGTCCATAGTCAGTTTGTTAATTTCTAGTGAGAGTTGCTGGCATAAGAAAAATCTGCTGATTGTCACGTTCTCCATAAGTTGTGTCTTGTTCAATGATAGACTGAAGCAAATGATTTTTTGGTTGTATGAAAATGGCAAAGGGATAAGTGAACATAGTAGAATGTTTTATAATGTTAGGGTCTTTGTTTTGTTTTATTTGAGATAGGGTTTCTCTGTGTAACCCTGGGTGTCCTGGAACTGACTCTGTAGAGCAGACTGGGGCTGACAGTCTCAAGGTTGTATCATTTATGGCCTGCTTGTATGATCCTTATACTTAGGTACCGGGAAGCTAGTGTTGAAGTCATGGAGATAATGTCTCACTTTGCTGTGATTGAACGTGCCAGCATTGATGAGGCTTATATAGATCTGACCAGTGCTGTGCAAGACAGACTTGAAAAGTTACAAGGCCAGCCTATCTCAGCAGACTTGTTACCCACCACGTACATTGAAGGGCTGCCCCGAGGCCCTACAGTAGAAGAGACTGTCCAGAAAGGTACTTGTATAGCAGCACATTACTCTGCTTCCTGCTTTGGGAGCCTGCTTTGCTTCTGCTTCTGCTGATTCTTTTTAGAACATTGCTTAAATTATTGCCTATATGTATCATGGAAACTCACATGAAAGGGTATACAAATTATCTTTCTGGGCAAATGCATGATGAGAAGCTGTGAAATTTGTATGAAAGTAAATTATCTCTTTAGATATATAATCACATCAGTTTAGTGTTATCAACAGAAGGTAGAAGGCTGACTACTTCCTTCATCTGTAGATTAATTCATATTATTGTCATTTAGTTTCTTGATTTATTTAACAATAAGTAGAGTGAGGTGGGGGGGTGTTCATTTTTGGAAGCAGGGTTTCTCTTTGTAACTGGAACTCACTCTATAGACCAGGCTGGCCTTGAACTCACAGAGATCCACCTGTCCTTGCCTCCTGAGTGCTGGGATTAAAGGTGTGTACCACCACTGTCCAGCCAGAGTGAGCTTTTTATTTTTTTTACTTACTTTTATGTGTTTTGCCTGCATGTATGTCTTTGTACCACATGTGTGCAATGCCTGAGGGGGCTAGAAGAGGGTATTAGATCTCCTGGGGCTGGAGTTACAGATAGATGTGAGCTGCTATGTAGATTCGGGGAATTGAACCCAGGTCCTCTGGAAGGGCTCTTAACTGCTGAGCCATCTCTCCAGCATCAGAATGAGCTTTTAAAATGGAAACCTTAGGAGTAAGAGTTGACTAATTTTAAATTTTTCCTCAAGAGAAAGGGTCTTTCTGTGTAGCCCAGGCTCACCTCAAATTGTTTACCCCCTCCCCCCAAGCCATTGGAGTTACTAGAATTACAGACATATGCTACCCTATCCCCCACACACACACACGCACGTCTTTTAATTCTCACAGCAGCTCTGTACTTTGCAAATTTTGTGAGAGGCAACAGCAGTTTTGAACAGGAAGATAAGGTTGATAGATTGATAATGCTAGTAGTTAAGAGTATTTAAATTGTGAGCATTATATGGTGAGTTTAGGGTTTGAGCCTTTTATTTTGTTTTGCACTGGAGACAAAACTAGCAAGTGCTTGTCCTCTGAGTACACCCTCAAACCAGGTGGGAAGAGTTGAGGTGGTTGGGCCTGTGATGGTGTTTTTGTTCTGCAGGTGTCTTATTTTTCTGTTGCTGTGTAGATACCATGATCAAGGCAACTTATAGAAGAAAGGGTTTATTGGGCTTACAGTTTCAGTGGGTGAGTCCTTGACTATCATGGGAAGCATGGTAGCGGGCGGTTAGGCAGTTCTGGTGCTGGAGCAGTACCTGAGAGCTTATATGTTGGACAACAACCACAAGGAATAGAACTAAGAAGGAATGTCATGGGCTTTTAAAACCTCAAAGCCTACCCCCAGGGGTACACCTCTTCCAACAAGGCTATATCTCCTAATTCTTCTCAAACAGTTGTACCAACTGTTCAAATGTATGAGCTCTGGGGCCGTTCTGATTAAACCACCACAGCAAGTAAAGGCACTTCCTGTCTGATGATCTGAGTTCAATCCCTAGGACCTGCATTGTGACAGGAAAGAACCCAGACTCCTGCAAGTTGTTCTTTGATCTCCACATGTGTGCTTTGGTGCACCCTTTTCCCCAACCTATAAATAAGTGCTTCTTAATTGTTTTTAAATTGAAGGGGCACTAGAGAGATGGCTCAGTAGTCAGGAGCACATACTGCTCTTGCAGAAGACCCACATTTGGCTTCCAACATACATATCAGGCAGCTTCCAACCACTTATAACTTCAGCTCCAAGGGATCCGACACTCTCTTCTGGCCTCTTGAAAATACCTGCACTCACACACAGCCTTATACACAGACACACCAAGTATACACATAATTAAAGACAAATAATTTTAAATAAGAAATTAAAGGTGAGTACAGCAAGGTGAGTGGTAGTGATAGGGGAAATGGTTCTGAAGTGGGCTCTGTTAACTGACTACACAGAGGGAAACGGGGCCAGTGGTAGGGAGCCAATGTTACTTACATTACAGAGTTTTATTAAGAACAGAGGGTAGCATGGTGGCACATGCCTTTAATCACATGCAGGTGGATCTCTGAGTTCAAGGTCAGCCTCTTCTACAGAGTGAGTTCCAGGATTGTCAGGGATACACAGAAAAACCCTATCTTGAAAAACAAAAAACAGGGCCTGGAGAGATGGCTCAGAGGTTAAGAGCACCGACTGCTCTTCCAGAGGTCCTGAGTTCAATTCCCAGCAACCACATGGTGGCTCACAACCATCCGTTATGAGATCTGGTGCCCTCTTCTGGTGTGCAGATATAACTGAAGAAGAATGTTGTATACATAATAAATAAATAAATAAAAATTAAAAAAAAAAAGAGGGCTGGAGAGATGGCTCAGAGGTTAAGAGCACTGGCTGCTGTTCCAGAGGTCCAGTTCCCAGCAACTGTTTACATAACAAATAAATAAATCTTTAAAAAAAAATAAAGAAAAACAAAAAACAAAGCAAAAAAAAAAAAAGTGTAAAGAAGAAAAATTGAGGGAACACGATTTTAAATCATTGCTCCTGGGCTGGAAGTATAGATCAATGGTAGCATGTTTGAATGATGGGTTCTAGCCTCAGCACTGCAAAAATCAACAAATCATTATTCATGAATGATTGTTAACATAAAATATTTGTTACATATTATCACTATAAGATTAAAACTAAGCTGAAACTAAGGCTGCTGCAATTGGTATGTTCAAATGTGGTTGATTTTCTAAACCTATGTATCTAGGGCTGGTGAGATGTCTCCACAGGTAAAAGGGCCTGCTGCCAAACCTGGTAATCTGGGTTTGATCCCTTTGTGCATATGCTCAAGCAGACAAAACAAATAAAATGTAGTCATAAGAGCCAAGTGGTGGTGGTGGTGGTGGTGCACGCCTTTAATCCCAGCACTCGGGAGGCAGAGGCAGGGGGGTCTCTGTGAGTTTGAGGCCAGCCCGGTCTCCAGAGCGAGTTCCAGGATAGGCTCCAAAGCCACAGAGAAACCCTGTCTCAAAAAAAAAAAAAAAAAGTTAGTCATAAATAAAATGCTGCAGAGATGGCTTAGTGATTAAAAGCACTTGGTGGTCCTCTATAGGACCCAGATTGGGTTCCCAGCACTCACATTGTGAGATAACCACAAGCACAAACCCTTTTCTGGCCCCCAGGGGTACCCACACACATGGCACACAGAGATACACATGAATAAAAATAAAGTTTAAAGTAAACCTATGTGTCTAAAGTACTTGAACTCAACCCATTTTTACATCGAATGATAAAATAGTCACGTGCTGCTAAATGTCAGGCACATGCTCTGGGAAATATGTTGTTCAGTGATTTCATCATTGTGCAGATATCATGTACTTGTAGAAAGCTAGATTATATAGTCTACTAATGCTATATACCATCATATATGTAGTCTGCCCTTGAGAAAATGTTATGTGATTCATGACTAAAATTAACTAATTTTTAAAATGTCTAAATGTAACCTCAACTTTTTTTTCAGAGGAGATTCGAAAACAAGGCTTACTTCAGTGGCTTGGTTCTCTTCAGATTGATGATGCCACCTCTCCAGACCTACAGTTGACTGTGGGAGCAGTGATTGTGGAAGAAATGAGAGCAGCCATAGAGAGGAAGACTGGTTTTCAGTGTTCAGCTGGAATTTCACACAATAAGGTGAAGGCTTTCTGTAGACTTCAAAGGGAAACATTGATAATCTTTAGTAAATACAGCAAGGGTGATATTAGTGGATATTTAAATTCACGTTGAGGGCCTGTGTGGGTAGTGCATGTCTGTACCTCCACCACTTGGGAGGTGGAAGCAGGAAAACCAAGAGTTCTAGAGCTTCAGGCCAGTCTACTCTATGTGAGACCTTGTCTCAAAAAACTTTAAAAAAAAAAAAAAAAAAGGGGGGGACTGGAGAGGAGACTCAGAGGTTAAGAGCACTGGCTATTCTTTCAGAGGACATGGACTCAATTCTCACCACTAACATGGTAGCTCTCATCTCTCTGTAAACACAGTTCCAGGGGACCCAACACTTCTTCTGGCCTCTACCTGTTGTACAGACATAGATGCAATCAAAACACCCATACATGTAAAATGTTTTATTTAACTGTTTAAAGTTTTGGGACTGGTGAGATGGATCAGTGGTTAAAGGCGCTTGCAACCAAGCTTAATGACCTGAGTGCTACCTAGAACCCACATGGTGGAAGAAGAGAACCTGGTTGTCCTTTGATCTCCATATATGCAATGCCCCCCAATAAATGTAATTTAAAAAAAAACAGCTAAAATAAAATTCAGACTCAATAAAATTCAGACTCAAATAAAAACTTAAGAAATAAAGGACATTACTTGACATGGCATAAATATTTCTTTTGGGGGGGGGCAGGGGCATTCTAGACAGGGTTTCTCCGTGGGTTTGCTGGCTGTCCTAGGACTAGCTCTTGTAGATCAGGCTGGTCTCAAACTCACAGAGATCCTCCTGCCTCTGCCTCCCTAGTGCTGGGGTTAAAGGTGTGCGCCACCACCACTTGTCAGTCATAAACATTTCTTAAGCAACAACCTGAAAGCTGACAAAAACTCCCACACAGACATACATGTAGGCAAAACAGCAATGTACATAAAAATAAATCATTTTGGGGGATGTTCTTTTTTTTATTTTTTTTATTAGTTCAAATTAGGAACAAGCTTGTTTCACATGTCAATCCCTTCTCCCTTTCCCTCCCCTCACCTCCACCCCTCCTCCCCCACCCCCCCCAAAATAAATCATTTTAAAAGAAGTTATATTTAAAAAAAAAAAAAAAAAAAGCTACAGTGGTGGATAGTTGGAGGCCAGTATGGTCTACAATTCAAATTCCAGTTCAGCCAGAGCTGTTCCACAGAGAAACTCTGTCTCAAAAAAAAATAAAGCTGAGGCTTTGAACTTTTATATATTAGCCTATTTCTTTTATTTTCACTTGCTGTATATTTTTGTTGTTGTTTCATCATATATTTTTTGGCTTTTTGAGGGAGGGGCTCATGTAGCTCAGGGTAGCTCAAACTTCTTGTGTACCAAAGATGACCTTGATCCACCTGTCTCTACCTCCCAAGTTCTGGGATTATAGGCATCTGCTATTACACTTAGCTTTATTGTTTCCTTATGTGGGATTGCCTGGATGTTTTTTGCTTTTGTCTGTTTCTTGTATGTATATGTATACGGATGTAAGTGTGGCTTATGTCTGTGATGAGTGCATGTGTGTCGTAATCTTCTCACTCCTGCTGAACTCCTTTTAGGCCAGTTCTTTCAACCTAGAATTAACTTTTTTTTTTTTTTTTTTTTTTTTTTTTTTAGGAGAGTGAGCAATTCCACCAGCCATAAAGTCCTAGAGATCTTGGTATCTCTTCCCCTTCCAGTTCTGGGTTTGCAAGTGTGTACAGGACTATGCATAGCTTGTTTCATAAGGTACTGGCATTCAAACCCAGTCCTCAGGCTTGAGCAATTGGAACAATAAAAGAAAAGTGGCAGTAAAATTTAATTTGGACCACTATTTTTTTTAAGATTTATTTATTATGTACACAGTGTTCTGCCTGCATGTATGTCTACAGACCAGAAGAGGGAAACCAGATCTCATTACAGATGGTTGTGAGCCACCACGTGGTTGCTGGGAATTGAACTCAGGACCTTTGGAAGAGCAGGCAGTGCTCTTAACCACTGAACGATCTCTAGTCCCCTTGGACCACTATTTTTAAAAAAGGGAACACAGACAATTCTCAATAGTCCAGGAGCAGAATAACTGATTTTCTAACTAACTGTGAATAAAATACAGTGTGAATACAGGATGTCCATCAATAAAGGCTCAATAATTGAGCAGTAGCTGGCCAGGTTGCTGCTACCTTCTTCTCCCTCTAATAGAAGGAAAGTTGCTATGCTGCCCAGAAGAATTTTTGGGGTTTTGTTTTGTTTCTTTTTTTTGGCTATATAAAAGGAAGGGAAACAATATCCCTAATGTAATATAGATCATATTGAATATTGCCTAATGTAATATAATGTAATATAGATCATACTAAATATTGCCTAATGTAATATAATATAAATCATACTAAATATTGCCTAGTTGAAGTTACTAAAGAATTTTACCAATAGCTAGTCATGGTGGTGCACACTTTGTGTGTTTCTGTGTTGTTGCTGTTTTAATTCATCTATTTATTTTACATCCTGGCCGCAGTTTCCCCTCTGTCTTCCCCTCCATGCCTCACCTCCCTATCCCCTCTCCACCCTCCAGTCCACTCCTAGGACAGACCAATAAAACATGGCATATCAAGTTGCAGTAAGGTTAAGCACCTTTCCATGTATTAAGACTGGGCAAGGTGATCCAGTTTGAGGAGTAGGGTCCCAAAAGCCATTAAGAGTTGGAGACAGCCCCAACTGTTGTTAGGAGTTCTATAAGAGGACCAAACTACACAACTTAACATATATAGAGTGCCTACTAGGTCAGTCTCATGCAGGCTCCCTAGTTGTCGGTTCAGTCTCAGTGAGGCCCTATGAGCCCAGGTTAGTCGATAGTGTGAGCCTTTCCTTGGTGTCCTTGACTACTCTGGCTCCTACTCCTCTTTCTTCTCCTCCTCCACAGGATTCCTGAACCCCACCCAATGTTTGCCTGTGGGTCTCTGCCTCCATCAGTTGCTGGATGGCATCTCTCTGATGACAGTTGGGTCAAGCACAGGAGATAGCCAATTCAGGCTGCTTATCCACTATTGCTAGGAGTCTAAGCTGGGGTCCTCCCCATAGACTCCTAGGAGATTTGCCTGCGCCAGGCTTCCACTGGACCCCCAAAATGCCGGTCCTCCAGCAGGCCCCCTCAGAGTTCTCCCCCTCCATGCCTTCCCTCAATCTGATTGCTCATTATCCCATCCTCACCTGCCCTCAGTCCACTCACAAAATTTGGCTGTAGGCCTCGAACATTTGACAGACCATTTTCAGAAGCAGGAAAATTTGAAAGACTGTCCTACCCTGTCTTGACAAGGCTCATCAGTCACTTTTCCTTGCATCCTGCTTGTCCGGATTGGACAGAGTGCTTACTGTCAATAGCTGAGGCAAGGGCAGTTCTATGCCCAATAGGCCAGTTTTGCCAAGAAAAAAACAAGCTCCACTTGAAGTATCTTCGGTGCCCATCATTCTCTCGGGAATAGATTGGTGCTACCAGTTGTGTCTCATGTCAACAGAATTCTAGTTATTAAAACATTTAAATGCCATATTCTATAGGTCTTTGAAGTGTTTGAAGATCACCTGTCTGTATGGAATACATCTTTGTGTATCTAGAAAACCTAAATATGGGCTGGGCATTGGTGGCGCAAGCCTTTAATCCCAGCACCCGGGAGGCAGAGGCAGGAGGATCTCTGTGAGTTCAAGGCCAGCCTGGTCTCCAGAGCGAGTGCCAGGATAGGCTCCAAAGCTACACAGAGAAACCCTGTCTCGGAAAAAAAAAAAAAAAAGAGAGAGAGAGAGAGAGAAAGAAAGAAAACCTAAATATGTTAAATATGGGTGACTATTGACCTATAATTCTTTTTTTTAGATTTTATTTATTAATGTATTTTTTGCCTGACAATCCCACTACCCTCTCCCTCCTCTCCTCCTGCTTCCCCACTTTTCCCCCACCCCACTTCCCATCTGCTCCTCAGAGAGGGTAAGGCCTCCCCTAGGAAATCTAAGTCTGTCTCCCATCATCTTGTTGAGGCAGAACCAAAGGCACCTACCCCCCATGTCTAGGTATCTCCATATAAAATGGGCTCCACAAAGTCAGTTGGTGCATTAGAGTTAGATCTTGGACCCACTACTAGTGGCCTCACCAGCCACACCATTGTCAGCTGTATTCAGGGGTCCCTAGTTCAGTCCTATGCCAGTTCCCCAGTTGAAGTTTGGAGTCAGTGATCTCTGACTAGCTTGGGTCAGGTGATTCTGTGGGTTTTCCCATCATGGTCTTGACTCCTTTGTTCATATTATCGCTCCTGCCTCACTTCTAGGAGCTTGGCCCAGTGGTTATTTGTGGATTTCTGCATATGCTTCAATCTGTTTCTAGAAGAGGGTTCTAGCTTCTCTGGGGTGGTGGATTATAGGCTGGGTATCTTTTGCTTTATGTCTGGTATCCAATTATGAGTGAGTACAAACTATATTTGTATTTCTGGGTCTGGGTTACCTCACTTAGGATGTTTTTTTCTAGTTCTGTCAATTTGCCTGCAAAATTCAGGATATCATTGTTTCTTACCACTGAGTAGTACTCCATTGTGCATATGTACCACATTTTCTTTAACCATTCTTCTGTTGAGAGGTATCTAGGTTGTTTAAAAGTTCTTGCTATTATGAATAATGCTGCTGTGAACATGGTTAAGCAAATGTCCTTGTTGTGTGATTATGCATCCTTTGGGTATATCCCCCAAAAGTGGTATTGCAGGGTCTTGAGGTAGGTTGATTCCTAATTTTCTGAGAAATCACCATACTGATTTCCACAGAGGCTGTACAAGTTTGCACTCCCACCAGCAATGGAGGAGTGTTCCCCTTTCTCCACATCCTCTCCGGTATAAGCTGTAATCATTGTTTTTTATTTTAGCCATTCTAATTGGTATAAGGATAGTATCTCAAGAGTTGTTTTGATTTGAATTTTCCTAATGAGAATTGATGTCGAACATTTCCTTAAGTGTCTTTCACCATTTGGCATTGTTGTGTTAAGAATTCTCTGTTTAGATCTGTACCCAATTTTTCAATTGGATTACTTGGTAGTTTGATGTTTAGCTTCCTGAGTTCATAGTTTATTTTGGAGATCAGCCCTCTGTCAGATGTGGAGTTGGTAAAGATCTTTTTCCATTCTGTAGGGAGCCGTTTTGTCTTGTTGACTGTGTCCTTTGCCTTCTCAGTGTCAGGAGGCCCCATCTATTAATTGTTGCTCTCAGTATCTATGCTACTGATGTTTTATTTAGGAAATGGTCTCCTGTGCCTATGCATTCAAGGGTATCTCCCACTTAAAGTGTAATTCTTTTTTTTTTTTTTTTTTTCCCGAGACAGGGTTTCTCTGTGTAGTTTTGGAGCCTATCTTGGCACTCGCACTGGAGACCAGGCTGGCCTCGAACTCACAGAGATCCGCCTGCCTCTGCCTCCCAAGTGCTGGGACTAAAGGCATGTGCCACCAGTGCCTGGCTTAAACTGTAATTCTTCATAACCTTTATAGCTTAAAGACTAAAGCTTCACACTATAAAAATAAACGTCTGTAAACAGATATGCAGTCAAAGGACAATGACCTTGAAATTGTGACAGTATATAAAAATATCTTAATCAGAGATAGAAATGTATAGTGCAATATGATAAAAATATTCTTAATTTGCATCAGTGTACAAAATATCCTAAACAAAAGTAGAAACATACATACAATATGACAAAAATACTCTTACATCTATAACAATATACAAAAATATTTAAACAGGTATAGAAACATATATATATAATATAACAAATATAATTTTGACTTTGTATCAATATACAGATTATCTTAAATAGGAATAGAAATAGAAAAATAATTTTACATTTGTATCAATATATAAGAATCCATACCAATGCAAATTATCTAAAAGTGATAGTGCTGTTTTAATTTACAAGTAGATACAATAACCTACCTCATTGCCCTATCCTATCTAATAATGTCTGGTAGAGGCAAGCAGGGTGGCATGGTTCATGCCAAGGCCAAGACTAGTTCCGCCTGGGCTGGCCTTCAGTTCCCCATGGGCCATGTGCACCAGCTCCTCTGGCACCCCAGTGTATCTGGTGGCCAATCTGGAGTACCTGGTGGCCAAGATCCTGGAGCTGACTGGCAGTACAACAACAAGAAGACACACATTATCTGCAGCCACAGGAATTTCAAAAGATGGAGTTTGAGAGTATAGCTACTGTATGCAAGCACCCAGACCCAAGACATGCCACCCGGCCAGGGGATGGATTCAAGTGGCCATTGGGTTAGCCCCATGTTGGGTGTCAGAATTAGCAAAAAATCCACAAATACTTAAGAAGAAGACTTACTTATTATTAAGGGATGAAATAGGGAACACAACACACACACACACACACACACACACACACACACACACATCTACCAGAGAAGGATGGAGAAAGCTCTAGACTAGGTCACCAAATGGTGCATCAGGAAGCCTTCCATGTCCAAGTGAGAGTGGGAAACCACCCCCACCCCAGACCTCAGTTCTTACCCAGTCACATATCAGAGAAAACTACACCCATAGGGCTAGTTATCCCAAATGTTATTGCCTAAATGGATAGAGCTCCCACAACAGAGCAAACTTCCTTCTTCCATTTCCTTTATCTATGAGCTACAGGCAGAAGCTGCATCCCAGATTAAAGGTGGATCTTTCCATCTCAAGTGGGTCTTGCCAGATGGTGGTGGCATGAGCCTTTAATTAATCCCAGCATTCAGGAGGCAGAGGCAGGCAGCTGTCTGAGTTGGAGGCCAGCCTGGTTTATAGACTTACGTTCCAGGACTTCCAAAGCTAACACAGAGAAACCCTGTCTTGAGAAAAGAAAAAAAAAGGGGGGGGGTTGACCTTCCCACTTCAAATGATTTAATTAAATTAAAAAAAATTCTTCACAGGTGTGTATACCCAGCCACTTGGGTTTTAGTTAATCCAGACATAGTCAAGTTGACAATGAAGAATAGCCATCACAGACCATGTCTCAAAGACAAAAGAAAGAATCTTAGTAGTGAAATTAAGGAATGATTATATATAAATGTATATTTTTGTATCTATGGAGAGTGGTAAACTTTTTTTAATTTTCAGTTATACATATGTGTCTGTGAGTAGGTAGTCAAGGCCAGTCTTGAGCTCCTGGTCTTCCTACATTCGCTTCCAAATGTTGGCATTACAGGGTTGCACCACCATTCTTGGCCTATTTAGCATTTTCGTATTTACATGAGTAAGAAGTGAATCTTACTTGAGTTTCTTCTGTTTTTTAAAGCCTATTGTGAGAAAAATCTCATATAGAACAGAAAAAAAAATGGCTTGAGGGAAACTGAGAGTAGAAGAATGTAGGGAGAACAGTGAGGAGAACGCTTTCCAGACGGTCATTCTGAGGGACACCGTGGGCTTTGAGATGTAGGGAGAACAGTGTGGAGAACGCTTTCCCAACGACCATTCCGAGGGGCACGGGGCTAGTGAGGAGAATGCTTTCCCGATGGTTATTCTGAGGGACGCAGGCTTTGAGAGAGATGCATTTGGCTATATTTGATTTTCATGGGGATATGATTAGGACAGCCTTTAAGCTGTGCCTCTATGTATGTGTATGCATGCTTTAATATTTGTCAACTCTACATAGTTGCCTTTTTAATACTGACAATTTTATTGTTCTCTGTGCTTTCAGGTCCTGGCAAAACTCGCTTGTGGACTAAACAAGCCAAACCGCCAGACTCTGGTCTCACATGGGTCAGTCCCACAGCTCTTCAGCCAGATGCCAATTCGTAAAATGTAAGTATCAGGAAGGACCTTCAGTTTCCTCATGTGCATGACCTCTGCTTTAGTCACTTGTGCCTCATAAAAATAGGTACCAGTAAAAAAAAAAAAAAAAAAATAGGTACCAGTCAGAGGCAACACTGCAAACTTCATAAACTACATCTAGGCTTTTTTTTCTAAATGAGTTTTTAATTCAGGATAATCTGTAGTGTATCCGAAATACTGAATTAAAAAACAAGAAAACTGCCAGGTATAGTGGTGTACACCTTAAATCCTAGCACTCGAGAGGCAGAGGCAGGAGTCCAGCCTGGTTAGTTCCAAGTCCTCCAGGGCTATGTAGCGAGAACCTGTCTCAAAACAGTAACAAAAGAACTGATAGTTAGGCATGGTGATATATGCCTGTAATCCTAGTATTGGAGAGATACTCATGAATTTAACCTGGTCATCAGGGCTGCATAGTGGGCCCCTACCCAAATTAAACTAAGGGGCTGGGACAATAGCTCACTGGGTAAGAGCACATGTTGCCCAGGTATGAGGACCAGAATTCAAACTCCCTAGTATGCTCATAAAAAGCCAGATGTAGTTTTGTGTGCACTCCCCTGTAACCTCAGTGCTATGGAGGGAAGAGAGTGACCTACATACCCACAACTGTGGGGGGATGGAGATTGGGATTCCCAGGGCTTTGCTGGCTGCCACTCAGCTGCAAGTACAATGAAAGACCCCGTCCCAAGGCAGTAATTCTGAGAATGATAGTATAGGACACCTAACATCCTCTAGCCACCATGCGTGTACATATACTACACATACACCTGAGTTTTATTCAAGTCTATTAAGTATGTAACAAGTAAAAGTTTTATTCCTCTTAGCAGGGTGTTGATTCAAGGTCTCACTAAAAAGTCTAGGCTGGCCTCATACTGGTGGTATTCCTTGTGCCTCAACTTCCTAAATGCTAGGATTGTGGGTAGGAGCTACTACATCCAACTGGAATTGTACTTTTCTCTACTGTCAAATCAAGAGTGTTTGCTTGCTTATTGAGACAGGGTCTCACTCTATAGTCCAAGCTAGTTTAGAATTCATTGTGCCCCCCCCCCCAGGCTCACTTGAAACTATTTAATCCCCCTGTTTCAGCTTGGAATACTGGTGATACAAATGCAAGCCACCATGCCTGGCTCAGGCAAGGTTTTCAGATCAGGCAAATTGTTCTCCAGTGAGGCATGAAAATAAAACTGATCTGAGAAAGGCTAAGGGACTGGAGGTGGTAGAGAGCCTGCTAAGGACAAAGCAGCATGGAGAGACACTCAGCAGAAAGAAGGGAGAGTGTGACATATTCTCAGTGAACCTAGGGAGACACGAAATAGTCCATACTGATGAAGACAGGGAAACAAAAACCCTGAGGGTAGACTAAGGACACATTATAGGTCACTTCAAAGCCCACAGGGGAGTATTGGCCACGGAAAAGATTTATTTGGGGTTTGGAATATCTGGGGGAGGTTGGTTTTTTGTTTGTTTGTTTTTGTTTTTTCAAGACAGGGTTTCTTCTCTGTGTAGTCCTGGCTGTCCTGGAACTCACTATGTAGACCAGGCTGGCCTCGAACTCACAGAGATCCGCCTGCCTCTGTATCCCCAGTGCTGGGATTAAAAGTGTGTGCCACTACACCCAGCTGGGTTTAGACTTTTAATCTCCAAATGGGATAGTAGGTTTTACCAACTGAAAATTTAATATATAAGAACATGAAAAGGGCTGAAGAGATGGCTCAGAGGTTAAGAGCAACGACTGCTCTTCCAGAGGTCCTGAGTTCAATTCCCAGCGACCACATGGTGGTTTACAACCATCAGTAATGAGATCTGGTACCCTCTTCTGGTGTGCAGATATACATGGAAGCAGAATGTTGTATACATAATAAATAAAATCTTAAAAAAAAAAAAAGAACATGAAAAATGAAGTTTTTACGTGCAGTTGACCTGATAACAAACCAGTGATGAATATTTATGCTCTTGTTAATCTTCCCAGCTGGAAGCCTAGCACTGAACACAATTCTAAAAGTTAATTAGGTCACTGTGGCCTATCCCTCTAAAGTCATTTTGTTACCTACCTGGGTGGTTGATAGGAATTGTTCATTTGAAGCCTGGCTATGTACTCCTACCATGTTTATTTTTGCAGTACTGGCTATTGAGCCCAGGGCCTTGCACATGCTAGGCAATCAGTCCACTATGAAGCCAGATTCCCAGCTAGGAGTTGGGAAGAGTCATCTAGTTTGTTTGTTTTTCAGTGTGTGTATGCGTGGGAGAGTACAGGTATACTCGTTATGTTGGTTCTTTTCTTTTGGAGGGCTCCAGGGATCAGACTCTAACCATCGGCAGCACCTTTACTTACTGAGCTCCCTGGCCCTTATCTTTGTGCTGGAGTTAAGAGTCTGCCAGACTAAAACATTCCGATTTTCTCTGAGTCTTTGTGAGAGCTGCTTGGAGCAGCAGAATGTCTTTTATTTTGGTTAACTGTATATTTAAATGTGATTCTTTTTTTTTTTTTTTTTTTTTGAGACAGGGTTTCTCTGTTTGGCTTGGGAGCCTATTCTGGCCCTCGCTCTGAAGCCCAGGCTGGCCTCGACCTCACAGCGATCCGCCTGCCTCTGCCTCCCAAGTGCTGGGATTAAAGGCGTGTGCCACCAATGCCCGGCCTAAATGAGATTCCTTCCTATAAATTCCTTCTCTTCTTTGTTTAGCCGCAGTCTTGGGGGAAAGCTCGGGGCCTCTGTCATTGAAATCCTTGGGGTAGAGTACATGGGTGAACTGACCCAGTTCACTGAATCTCAGCTACAGAGTCATTTCGGAGAGAAGAATGGGTAAGTGGTTTAAATTTTTTTCTCTTTTAATTGTTTTTTTTTTTTTTTTTTTTTTTTTTTTTTTTCCCAAGACAGGGTTTCTCTGTGCAGCCATGGCTGTCCTGCATCTGCCTCCCAAGTACTGGGATTAAAGGCATGCCACCACACTTGCCGATTAGTGGGTTATATTACTTTCCTTTTGACTTATTTATTTTTATTTTATGTGCATTAGGTGTCTTGGCTGCATGTATGTCTATGTTAAGGCTGTCAGGACACTGTGAGCTGTCTTGTGGGTGCTGGGAATTGAAACTGGGTCCTCCAGAAGAGCAGCCAGTACTCTTCATCTCTCTGGCCCCTGTTTATATTATTTTTCAAACATAACCTTTATAGAGATGTTAAATTCAATACATATCAAAGCTTTTAGTAGACAGGGTCAGATAGCCAAGGCCAGATTCAAACATACATACCATACATATGGTATGTAACCAAAGGTAGCCTTGAAGTGCTGATCCTCTTGTGTGTCTCCCTCTTAATTCTTAGATGACAGACACACACCAGCACACTCAGCCTATGGTCTGTGTTCTGTAAGATCATTTCATGGGTTGGTTCTGTAGAATGTTAATTCCCCCAGACATAGTAGGCTCAATCTTAGTACCTGGGAGACAGAAGCACAAGTTTGAGATCATAAAAAGAAAGGCTTAGGATGTCATTCATTTGTGGAGCACTTTCCTAACATGCTACAAGGCTTTTGGTTCTGTCCCCAGCACTGAAAAAACATTTATAAGTTAGGGAATTAGGTCACTGTGGCCTATCCTTTTAAAGTCGTTTTGTTACCTACCTGGGTGGTTGATAGGAATTGTTCATTTGAAGCCTGGCTATGTACTCTTACCATGTTTGTTTTTGCAGTACTGGTGATTAAGCCCAGGGCCTTGCACATGCTAGGCAATCAGTCCACTATGAAGCCAAATTCCCAGCTTTTTCCCTTTAACTTTTTATTCGAGTCTTACTAAGTTTTCCAGGCAGGCTTTGAGCATGTAATTCTTCTGCCTCAGATACCCAAGTCCCATGAATTTGAGAGCTACACAACTAAGATAGTCCTATTACATCATTTATGTTTGCCATTTTGCTGGTGTTACCTTCAAATCCTTGTGTTTCGGGAAAAAGATGAATTGGTGGCTTGCTTGTTGGTACTTTGCAAAAAAATACAAATAGTGACAAGTAGAATTAGTTGTTCCCTTGCCATTGTCTTACATTAGAACTATTTAAGAAGGGCAAGAGCTGTCAGAGCTTAGGTATGCTTAAATTTTAGATCTTTCCTTTTTCCTTTCTTTGTTTTATTTACGACGGGGTCTCAAGTAACACGAGGCTTTGGTCCTTTTGCCTCCACCTTACAAGCGCTGGGGATTGAACCTAGGGCCTCGTACATGCTAGACATGCTCTACCATTGAGCTGTATTCCCCAGCTTCAATCATTTTTCATGAAGAGGATAAAGGCTAATGTAGGTATTTTGTTTTAACAAGGATGCTGGGGCAGGAGGATCATGAGCTGGAGGCCAGCCTGAGCTGCATACTTAAATGTTGTTTATAAATAGATAAGAAACCAGGCATGGTGGATCTCACCTACAACCCAGCAGGATCACAATTTGAGGCCAGTTGCCTAAATAGTGAGATCCTTGCTAGGAAGCAAACAAAAAACAACAAGGAGAATAATCACGCTTTCATCTTAATATCTTTTGCTGGTTTTACAGATCATGGCTGTATGCCATGTGCCGAGGGATTGAACATGATCCAGTTAAACCCAGGCAGTTACCTAAAAGTATTGGCTGTAGTAAGAACTTCCCAGGGAAAACGGCTCTGGCTACTCGGGATCAGGTAAGCAATCCTTCTCAACAGAACACAGCCTCTCTTAAAGAAGACAGTGGGTTTTGATAGCTATGCAGTTTATTGGGTTAGATGGCTACCTAAAAGGAATAGGACTTGCTTTTGTTTTTATGTTGAAATACAAGTTTGTTGTTTATTCTTCCTCCCTTTAATCTAAAAAGGGAAAAAAGGTATAAAACAGAACTGGCTGGAATGGACAATGGAGTTTCTTGTCTTTTTTATAGTTAGGAACTTCAAAAACCTAAAATATTGTGCCTCACTCAGTTTAAGTTATTATTAGAATTAGACCATGGTAGAATTAGGAAAAGTGAGGTGGAAAGCTTGGGCCTCTGCATAGTAGAGCAGTCCTATAACCCAGGCACATGGGAAGCTGAGTCAGCTGCCCCGAGAGTTGGCAGCCAACCTGGGTTGTAATACCCTGACTAAACAAATTGTATGTTGCACATGTGTGGGTGTGTACCTTTGCATGCATATGTAAACACCAGAGGAAGCTATCAGATGACTTGCTCTCTCACCCTGCCTTATTCTCTTGTTGAACCTGAAACTATGCTGGCAGCCAGCAAATCCCAGTGACCCTTTTGTCTCTCTCTATCCTGCTAGTCCTGGCTTATAATAGGTCCATATGCAGTTGTGCCTAACTTTGTATTGTGGGTGCTGGGAATTCTTTTCTATTATTTATTTTCAATTTTTTAATTTATTTTTATTATGTATACAGTGTTCTCCCTACAGGCCAGACAGAAGAGGGTGCCAGATCTCATTACAGATGGTTGTGAACCCCCATGTGGTTGCTGGGAATTGAACTTAGGACCTCTGGAAGAGCTGTCAGTGCTCTTAACCTCTGAGCCATCTCTCCAGCCTGGGAATTCATATTCTTATCTTCCTTCTTAAATAACAAGTGCTCTTATCTACTGAGTCATTTCCATTTCCCAATAATTTAAAAGCATTTTCTATTCTTGTTATTGAGATGGGTTTTTGCTATATAACCCAGCCTTGAACTGCCTCAGCCTCTCAAATCTGGGGTTACAGGTATACACCACTGTGCCTGACAGAAAATCTTCAACTAGAGGAAGACAGAGTGCTGAGCTCTTCATGATCTAGTTATAGGGATCCAACAGTGGTTCTATTTGTCTACTTAAATGAAAAATTAATTTCTTATTTTTGTTGTATTTGTTTGTTGTTTGTTTTTTAGGTACAATGGTGGCTCTTGCAGTTAGCCCTGGAACTTGAGGAGAGACTAACCAAAGACCGAAATGATGTAAGATTTTCTTTTTCTATTAGTCTTCGGGATTTAAATGCCATGTGCTACTTACCTGTGGAGAAGGAACACAGAGAAAATAGCATCAGTCTAGGGAATTTTAAGAAAGTTTGTTTGGCCAGACGTGGTAGTGCATGCTTTTAATCCCAGCACTAGGGACACAGTGGTAGGTGGATCTCTGTGAGTTCAAGGCCAGCCTGTCTACAGAGTAAATCCAGGATAGCCAGGACTACACAGAAACCCTGTCTCAAAAACAAAAACAAAAATAAAACCCCAAAAACAAAGTAATAGTCCAGGCTTAGCCTTAAACTTGCCAGTCCTCCTACCTTCAGGCTCCCAATCTTTAGGATTATAGGCATGAATTACCAAATTTGGCTGAGAATTCTTTTTATCTTCTTTTAACATGCGCCCTCATAAAACAGAACAATCCCGGTCCTGAGGGTACAGCTTAAGCTTAGTTGGTAGAGTGCTCGCTTAGCATGCTTCAAGTTCTGAGTGTGACCCCTAGCACCCTACAAACACCAGGGGCTGAGGTCACCCCTGACAAAAAAGGCAAGGGTAGTCATCAAACATCAGACATCTGACACTTTCTTCCTCCAAGTATCTTTGTTTTTTTTTTTTTGAGATGGAGTCTCACTATGTAGCCTTGGCTGGACTGGAACTCAGAGTGATCCACCTGCCTCTACCTCCCAAGTGATAGGCATCTTGAATCCTTCTTTGTGTCTCTACTTCCCAACTACTAGGGTGGGTATGGTCTCCTCCCTGCCCCAATTATATATACTTTATATAATAAAATATGTCCAGTTAAAGTGTACAGTTCAGTGGTTTTAGCATCTTCCATAGTTGTATAACTCCAATTGGTTTTATTTTTGTTCAGTTGTTTTTGTTTTGAGACAGGCTCTCCCTGTGTATACCTGGTTGGTCTTAAGGTGACCTTATATAGACTAGGCTGGCCTTGAACATACAAAGATCTATCTGCCTCTGCTTCCTGAGTGCTGGGACTACGGGTGTATGCTACCACACCCAGCTTTTCAGTCAACCTAATATTTTTATTTACTCCCCAAAGGAATTCTGTAGCAGACACTTCCATTCCTTCCCTACTTATCTGTAGGCAAGAGTATTTTTAGTATAGTTTTGAACCCAGCACAGTGGTGCACACCTCTTCAACAACAACAACAACAAACAACAACAAGAGCTGGTGGTAGTGGCCCCTGCCTTTAATCCCAGCACTTGGGAGGCAGAAGCAGGCGGATCTCTGTGAGTTCAAGACCAACCTGGTCTACAAGAGCTAGTTCCAGGACAGCCTCCAAAGCCACAGAGAAACCCTGTCTCTAAAAAACCAAAAAGAAAAAGAAAAAGAAAGGAAAAGTTCTGGACATTTCATATAACTGAAATCCTGCAGTATATGGTTGTTTCAGCAGTCTTGAACAGTCTTTCACTTAGTTCGCCCATATTATAGCATGAGTCAGTGATTACTTCTTTTTAGGACTGGATAAGAGTTATCAGTGAATGGTTATTTGGGTTATTTCTACTTTGGGCCATTATCAGTAATGCTGTTATTACCATTGCATGCTTTCATTCTACGAGCACGATTACTGGGTCGCATAGTAACTATGTTTAGCATTTTTGAGAAATTTGTCAGAATGCTTTCTGTAGTGGCTTAGCATTCTATATCCCTGCTAATGAGGGGGTGGGAGAGAGAGAGAGAGGTGTTCAAACAAATGAGTACAGGTGTCTGCAGAGGCCAGAAAAGACTGGATCCCTTGGGAGTTACAGGCAGTTATGAGCCACTTGATGTGGGTGCTGTGCTGGGAACTGAGCTCTGGTCCTAGGCAAGATTTATTGTCCCTCTTTAACCACTGAGACATCTCTTGAGCTGACCCATCATGATTTGTGTTTGATACTTTTTTTTTTTATGAAGCACAAATATTTCAGTGTTCGGGTCTATGCTGGTCTTCTTTGTATTGTTCCAGTTTTTTAGTTTTAAATTTAAATGGTATTAAATCTAGTAGCTAAGCATATTTTCATGTGTGTGTGTGTTTTTTTTTGTTTTTGTTTTTTTTTGTTTTTTGTTTGTTTTTTTTTTTGTCTGTTTGGTTGGTTGGTTTTTGTTTCTGAGACAGGGTTTCTTTGTATAGTCCTGACTGTCCTGGAACTCAACTCTGTGGCCCAGGCTGGCTTTGACTCACAGAGATCTGCCTACCTCTGCCTCTGGAGTGCTAGGATTAAAGGCGTGCGCCACCACTGGCCCAGCTATTGCATCTCTAGGCATACAAACATAACAGTTGTAATTACACAACTTTTCTCAACCAAAGTTCCTTTGTATTCTTTCAAGATGCAAACCTCTATAAATGTGTTTTAAGCCCCCCCTCCCCATTGTGCTCTTGATTTATGTCAGTTTTGGACATTCTCCCTCACATCTTTCAACTTTGAAAAGAAGCCTTACACAGACTTTTCACCTTACATACTCTGCATAGTGATCTTTTATTTCCATTTGCTGAGTGTAGCATTCAGATGCTCACACTTGTTGGTGCTTGCTGTCTATAGAGGTATTCTATATTGTTTTGTACAGATGGCTGTGAGAAGGAAGTGCTAGGACAAGTCTGATGTTTAAGAACATCCAGGTAGGGGCTCAGAGGTTAAGAGCACTGTCTGCTCTTCCAGAGGTCCTGAGTTCAATTCCCAGCAACCATATGGTGGCTCACACCCATCCGTTATGGGATCTGGTGCCCTCTTAAAGTACTCTACAAGCTAAGCTATATCCCCAGTTCCTATCCTGTATGTTTTAACATTCTGCAATAATTAATCACTCAAATTGTTATTTTTTTTCTACTTTTTTCAGTGCTAGAGATCTAATCCAAGATATATAATATATATATATGTAATTTATTTAATCATATTTTATGTACATTGGTACAAGGGGTTCAGATCCCCTGGAACTGGAGTTCAGATACTTGTAAGCTGCCATGTGAGTGCTGGGAATTTAACCCAGGCTCTCTGGAAGAAAAGCCAGTGCTCTTAAGCACTAAGTCATTTCTCCAGCCCCTCATATATGCTTATGTCTAGAAATAGTACAAGCTTTTTTTTGTGTGTATGTGTGTGTGTGTAATCCTGTAGTCAGATTTTTATCAGAAATTTTACTATAGTCTAGGCTCTGAATTTTTTTGTATCCCTTATGGTACTAGACCTAGTAGATGTTTAGTATGCATTTGTATTTTATATAAATAGGTACTGGAATAGCCTCATTTTTTTTTGCTAATTTTTTTTTCTTAAAGAAAAGGTCTTATGGCTGGGCGTTGTTGGCCCACGCCTTTAATCCCAGCACTCGGGAGGCAGAGGCAGGTGGATCTCTGTGAGTTCGAGACCAGCCTGGTCTCCAGAGCGAGTTCCAGGATAGGCTCCAAAGCTATACAGAGAAACCCTGTCTCCAAAAACCAAAAAAAGAAAAAGTAAGAAATTAAAGGTCTTACTATGCAGTAAGTACTAGCTTACCTGGAACTTGTAATGTAGACTAGGTTGACTTTGAACTCGAAGAGATCCATCTACCTCTGCCTCCCCAATGCTAGGATTAAAGAAGTACAACACTATGCTCCGCCCTATTGTTGGCTTTTAAATTGAATTTCCCAGTCATTCTGTTACCCTACAGATGCTCTTAGTAACTATTTCTGGTCTCAATCCTTTCTCACCCACAGAATGACAGGGTGGCCACTCAGTTGGCTGTCAGTATTCGTGTACAAGGAGACAAACGTCTTAGCAGTCTGCGCCGTTGCTGTGCCCTCACTCAATATGATGCTCATAAGATGAGCCAGGATGCATTTGCTGCCATCAGGAATTGTAATACTTCTGGAATCCAAACTGAGTGGTGAGGCTCCTATTTTAGTTTATCTTCTTTTTAAAAAGCTATTTTGTGGTTTAGCTGTAGAATGGGTGAGCGTCTGAGTTTTCATTTGGGGTAGTTTCTTTGTGACTCAGACTAGCAACACCTCTTAGAAGGAGTGATCAAGGTCTAAGGAAGGTGATAAAAATGAGCAAGTTTGGGCTGGAGAGATGGCTCAGAGGTTAAGAGCCCCGGCTGCTCTTCCAGAGGTCCTGAGTTCAATTCCCAGCAACCACATGGTGCCTCACAACCATCTATAATGAGATCTGGTGCCCTCTTCTGGTGTGCAGATATACATGGAAGCAGAATGTTGTATACATAAATAAAATCTAAAAAAAAAAAAAAAAGAGCAAGTTCAAGCTGGGCGGTGGTGGCACACTTCTTAATCCCAGTACTCGGGAGGCAGAGGCAGGCGGAGAGTTTGAGGCCAGCCTGGTCTACAGAGTGAGTGCCAGGACAGCCAGGGCTGGGGCTGTTATACAGAGAAACTTGTCGGGGTGGGGGTGGGGGGTAGCATTTGCTCTTTAGTTGACTGAAGAGCTAATCTGTATATAAAGGCATGTTTTATATTTTGAAACTCAGTTCATATGAAAATATATTTAGGCAACTAGACGTAATTTTTTTTTTTTTTTTTTTTTTTTTTTGGTTTTTCAAGACAAAGATTTCTCTGTATAGCCCTAACTGTCCTGGGACTTGAGGTATGCTGCCCTCTGCTTCCCAAGTGCTGGAATTAAAAGTGTGGGCCACCCCTGCCTGGCAATAGTTTAGATACTAAGAATTAAACCTAGGTCCTTGAACATGCTAATCAATGCTCTGCTACTGAACTACACCTTCAGATTCTTCATAATAAAGAACTTTATGAAAATATGAGGTACTTTACAACAAATTTCTTGAAATATTTCCCTTTTTTTTTCCGTTTTGGTTTAATTTTTCAAGACAGGGTATAACCGCTGTGGTTTTCCTGGAACTCACTCTATAGAACAGGCTGAGACAGAGATTGGAAACCAAAAGCTTGACAGAGAATTTCATCTTGAAAAATTCTAGAGTTATGAATTAGGATTGGAATTTTTTTTAAAGATTTTATTTATTATGTATACAAAATTCTGCTTCCATGTATATCTGCACACCAGAAGAGGGCACAGATCTCATAACAGATGGTTGTGAGCCACCATGTGGTTGCTGGGAATTGAACTCAGGACCTTTGGAAGAGCAGTCAGTGCTCTTAACCTCTGAGCCATTTCTCCAGCCCAGGATTGGAATTTTTTCCCACTTTTTTTGTGTGTATGTGTGGCATAATTCATGGTACTACCTGTGAAATCTCTGCGTTAGTCCTACAAACCAATCTCAGGCCATCCATCTTGGTAGCAAAGTGCCTTTACCCACTGAGCCAACCGGCTGGCGAGGTTTTTTATACAGCTGGGGATGACTCTGAGCTCTGATTTGCTTACTCTTCTCATGTTGTTGCCTTGAATAAAACTTGTGTAGCTCTGAGCTGGGTGTGGTTGTGCACAACTTTAATTCCAGCACCCAGGAGGCAGAGACAGGCAGATGTATGAGTTCCCAGCCAGGGTAGTTACACAGAAACCAAAAAAAAAGGAAAAAAAATTTTCTTTTGTGGTAGAATTAGAACTTGTCATTTATTAATTGAATCTGGGCTCTTAAAACAATGACTTGGTAACTTCCTTGTTCCATTACTTTGTACACAGGTCCCCTCCCCTCACAATGCTCTTCCTTTGTGCTACCAAATTCTCTGCCTCTGCCCCTTCATCTTGCACAGACATCACCGTCTTCTTGAGTAATGACTCAAGTTGTCAGCCAAAGGTGCCAACTGCTGGCTCTGAAACTAAGACCCAGGGAACTGGTGCAGCTTTGCCCACCTCTAAAAAGGCAGCCACCTCTCTGGAGTCTTTTTTTCAAAAAGCTGCTGAAAAGCAGAGACTGAAAGAGACTTCCCTTGTACCTCTCAACACGTTCACAGACAAGTCACCACCCAAGCCCTCGCTACCATTCCAAACCAGCCGGACCACAGGAATTGAGCCCTTCTTTAAGCAGAAGAGGCTGCTGTCACAGCAGACACAGCTTAGTAATTCTTCAGCTGCTTCCCTTCCACAGAAGGATTCTGGAGTGACAGCAAGCTGTTTTCCAACTGAGTGTGCAGATGGTGGCCCGCCTTATGAAAGCGTTTTGGAGTCAGTACCCTCTGGAGGGATTTCTACAGAAATGGACATGGCTGGGAACAGTCCAGACATGCTTGAGTCTTCAATTTACAACTCTGAGGTGGTGGCCCAAAGGGCAACTGAGGACCAAGTGCTCTGTGAGAAGTGTGACTCCTTAGTCCCAGTATGGGACATGCCAGAACACACAGACTATCATTTTGCATTGGAGTTGCAGAAGTCTTTTTTGCAGCCTTGTACTTCAAAACCCCAAGCTGTTCCTGCCATGTCTCCTCAAGGCAAAAGAAATCCCAAGAGTCCTTTGGCTTCCAGTAATAAACGCCTTAGGATTCATGGCATGCAGACACTGGAATCATTTTTTAAGCCGTTGACACATTAATGCTGCCCTCAGGCTTGCAGGAGAGCTTTACTAGTAACTTGAGAGATAAAATCATGTTGATTTCTCAAGAGAAATCTATGAAATTTTTAATACAAAATTAGGTTAAATTTCTCTCTTCCATGGGATTCTAAAGCTGTTGCTGATCAAAATGTTTTTATTCTTCAGGGAGACACTGTCATAAAAGGTGAAAGGAACCTTGGCAAACTCCGTATCTCACTCTGTTATCTATAAAATTGAAGATCATATATTTAGGGATGTAACTCAAGAGATACAGCGCCCCCCCCAAAAAAAAAACCCCAAAGTCCTTACTTAAAATTGGAACAGAAAGGAGAAAAATGGGGTTGGGGATATAGTTGGTAGAATACTGGCCTAGGATAGCACATGCAAGGCCCTGTGTTCAATTCTCAGTACTGGAGGAAAAAAAAAAACATGGGTAGATGAGACATGCAGTCTTCCTGAGTCACCCAGGTGTTGGGATTAAATCTTATGACCTTGAGTTCTATATGAATCCAGGTAGTAGGTTAAATGAGTAGGAAGACAGCATACACATCTCTCTTCCAATACATAAATACAAATCAGTTTCATTTTACTTATTTATAAATTGGACCTGTGTGTGTTACTTCAAGGGGAAAGGTTAGCAGGAAATGACCCTTTCCTTTGAAGTTGCTGTGGCTTTTCCCTAGCTGGATTAGTAGCTTCTTAAAGGCTTGCAGGTCGTATGTTCTTCATATTGGTTCAATGTATGTAGTAGAAAACCATACATCTGGTTACCCAAACTAGGACAATAAAAATGTATTTGAGGACCTGTCTTGCATACTTTTATTACCCTAAATGTTCTGATAACAAAGTGGCCTACTGGTGATTTTAACATTGAGGTGGGTAGGCTAAGCTAGCCTGTCCTCACAACTGTGATTCTCCTGCTTCAGTTTTGTGTGTCTGGGATCATAGGTGTACAGCAATATGCCTATGCAAATGTCACTTCTTTTGGTACTGAAAGGCTAGCAAGGAGGAGTGGTAGGAAAAGGAATGTGTGGCCAGGTTTTTTTGTGCATACTTGTAATCCCAACACTTTATAGAGGGTAAGGAAAGAAAAGTCAGTCTGGAATTAAAATCATCCCTAGCTAGATAACAAGTCTGAGGTAACCTGAGCTACATGAAAGAGGTAGGGGATTGGGATGTAACCCACTGGTAGAGTACTTGCCTCCATGGCTTTTTAATCCTAGAATTCTGAAGGTGGAGGCATGAGGATCTGGAGTTAAGTTCTGGGCCAGCTTGGGTAATTTAATAAGACACTGTTCTCAGAGAAAAGCACTGTAGCAGAAACTTAGGTATCACTTGAATTTCTAGAGATAAGTTGGAGGTCAGGTGGAGGGTGGCTGGTAGACCAATAAAAGGCAAAGGCAGCAGTATTACCTTGTTTTCCTGGGCAGCCCTGCCCTACTGCACATAGGAGAGCAGACAGGCATGCCTTCATCAGTGCTGGCAAAGTACCACTGTGCTGCAAGACGCCCTTGCTTTTGTCACTGTTCTGAGCTTCTAATACAGGGAGAAGTCTTACCCACAGGCTTTCACTAGTATGGGTAAGCCAATGGTACTTTTTGGTTTGTTTTTATGGATGGGGTTTCTCTGTGTAGCCCAGGCTGTCCTCACACTCACAGAGATCTGCCTGCTTCTGCCTCCTGAGTGCGGGAATTAAAGGTGTGTGCCACCATGGCCAGCGACCAATGGTATTTTTTAAAAACCATGCCTATAACCCCAGCCATTTGAGAAGAAGAAGGATCAAAAAGGTTCAGGGTCACCCTCAGTTACATAGTTTGGGGTCAGCCTGGGCTAGGGACTTAACGCAAAAAAAGAAAACTCTGGAGACAGAATGCTGCATAAGGCTTTGGACCACATGTATCATTTGCTTTGCCAGGATTAGTATTCAAAAGAGAGTTCCTACTTTAGCAGTAGACTTTAGCCTTAGACCCTACTTAATATGGCCTTAGACCCTACTTAATATGGCGTAGTTAGAAAGACTGGGACTAGAGCTCAATGGTCAGCATGGATTCCAAAATCTCTGATAGTGTGAACACAGAAATAGGACAGACTGAGGGCCATGTAAGCTAAACAGCTTACATGGCCTTCAATGCTCCAAGAATCTAGGCTCTAAGTGAAGTGTGAGGACGGCATTGGCATTGCCATTCCTCTTTTTAAGTCTTCATCCCTATAGAACTGGTACTCTTAAAGGACCACTGACAGGCAGACAACTTAAGGACAATGGAGCTGAAAATGTGAGCTGAAAAGGCCTTTCCACTTTATACTCTGCTTGCTTGAAGAATGGAGCAAAACAAGTCAGAACACACAAAATGCTGATCCTATGGGGAGAGGAAAAGGGTGGCCACTGAGATAAGGGATGACTTCTTTCCCAATTCAGAGTCACTTGTCTCTAACCCTAGAGAAGAGTCTAGCTGTGGAGGATGAACCCGTGTCTTAAAACATAAGCACAGAGTGTCCAATAAAACATTTTTATTCTGTACAATATATATGTGTATTTAAATATATATACATATATATACATGTGCAGAGAATCTTCAACCAACAAATCCCTGAGTTCATGGGAACCCAGGATGCTAACAAAGGAAAAGGAGGGAGTCCATGCCTAGAATGACATCTTTCCCTTTTCTCCTGGTTCCCGGCAACAGAGGGAAGGGGTGATCACTACAAATTACAAAAACAAGAAAAAATTTATGTGGGAGCAAGAATGGGGATGAGGGTGCCAGGACGCACAACTGTGGGTCAGGTCCTGCAGCTACCAGGTTGGGAACGAAAAACATACTATTTGATCTAGCATGAAAATCAACAGATGACTTGCAGAGGAAAATAAACTGACATGCAGCTGGCCTTTGGTGTGCCAAGTCTTAGCTTGGCAGCCCCACGCCTGAGCCAGCACCACAAATAGCACCAAGTGGGGCCAAGGAGGATCTGGGGAAACCGCCCTTGAGTGAAGGGCAACAAAATAAAGCCAGGAAGATGCATCAGGACTCAACACAGGGTAGGGACACAGTCTTTCATGGTCTCTGTGTCATTTCTTCAGTCCCTGGGTCCACCAGATGGCCAGGAGCATTATCTTTTATCCACAGTCAGGTAGAGAAGGGCAACTTAGTGGCCTTGAGAGGAGGTATAAAAAAAGAAGTGCTTTCAAGGGCCACCCCAGTTACGACAATTCCTGAAGTGCAGAGATCACACTGGTGAGTCATGCCCGATCCTGACAGTGGTCCAAGATGCCTATGCACCATTCCCTCCAGTAGACAAGACCATGCAGCCAGGGTTAATGAGCCAACCAGCGGGCACACAGATGCTGAGAACAGCCCTGAATTGTCTTCTCCCTTCCGGACTGCCCCTCCCTGGTCACACCAAGCTTGATGTCTCTCAGAAAGGTGGCAGGAAGCAAGTGGCAGTAGCCACTCTGCCTAGCCTATTAACACACAGAGCCGCCAACGGTTGGCAGCATGGCTGGAAGTCACCTTATGTATTGTAGGGACAGCGGTAGAGCTGTTTTGAGGACTCAGAAGCCCATGCTGGCCTGGGCTTCTCCTGCTGTGATGGCTTGCACATCCGTGACATGGCCGATGCCTTTGGTAACGCCCTCCCGGAACAGCAGTTTGGCGCCCACCTTCAGGTATTCTGGGTGTTTCAGGAAACGGAAACGTACCACTGCCTTCTCCCCTGTCCGCAGCTTGTCCTTCAGGAGAAAAGTGGTCATGGCCCTGGCCAGTGGCTATCATCCCATTCTCTATCACCCTTGAGATCCCCAGGTGGGCTGCTACCCACCCTGTATGGGCTCTGCTCCCTTTATGGGATCAGGCAACTCTCAGCCAAGTATGAGTTAGGGCTCCCTCCTGTATGGAGGCAGAATACAGACTTTCCCTGCAGAAATGGAGGCATGGCTGGGTCCCTCTCACCTTTGCATGGATCTTTTCTACCACTGCCGTTTGACGTACATTGCCCACATGTACTGTCACCTGGAATCCCCGCCGGAAGGTGGTGGCATGGAACAGTAGAACTATCTCTGCCTCGAACACCGAGCAGATGGTGGGATTCATCTCGGGGCTCACCATCACCATGCCCTGGAGAGGCACAGCCCCAGACCCAAGAAGGGCAGACCTGGTATTAGACACTTTCCAGCTACTCTACACCCTTTAGAACTCCTGAACCCCCCTTTTCTGCTATAAACCTCCAAGGAAAGGCCTCAGAAGACCATGGTATCATAGTCATTTATATTTAGCAACCTGTGTTTTAAGATCTTAAGCCCTTCTAATAGTCTATATAACCAAGTCTACACTCCTGAGTTAGATAGAGACCATGTTTCCTTGGGTTTCTCCAGATGCTTCTCATTCAGTAGCCAGTCTTCCAGACACTTGCATTCCCTCTCCAACCCACCAGTCCACCTCACCTTGCGAAGCAGTGAACGGTCAAAGTCTCCCAGGGCTAGTGTAGCAGCCTGACCAGCTCGCAGCACACGACAGGCAGAGCGATTGCGCTGGATGCTGCATACTCTCAGCTCCAGGAAGCAGCCATCATCTGTCGGGCCAACCACCAGCTGGTCCCCCTCACGGCAGATCCCACTGTAGCCCAGACAACAGGTAGCACAGTGTCAGCGTAGGTCCCTCTGACTTCTCTCCCAGGGTCACTCAGAATATCCTTGCCCTTGAATTAGGGCAAAAGAACCCTAACTTCCAGCTTGGAAGAAGCAGACTGCCTTGTCTGGCTTAGCAGTCAGATTCTGAAGGCCCAGCAGTAACAGTTGGCAGAGGCACACCTGTGGCTCGCTAAAGAACAAGTTACACCCTTAGGGTTCATGCTCTGCCTCATTAAGAGTCTCTTCCTCCATTCCCTGCTTTGGGATGTAAATGAATGAATGCACCACTTCTTCCTAGAGCCCATGACCATAGGCTCTAGGGGCCTGGAGAGTCCCCTAAAGCAGAATGCCATTTCTCCCTCATAAGCCAAGGATACTAAGCTTCCTGCGGGTGAAAGCTAGTCTGCAAACAAGTATGCCCCATTCATGAGCTCCACCCAGGGCTTCCTTCAGGCAAGAGGTCTTCAAGTACAGGGTACACAGATGAGGGCTGAGCAGGCTGAGTAGCAACAAGGCAGTCACCTGGATAGTGTTCCTCCAACCACCGTTCCCACCTCTGGGACTGTGTAGATTTCATCCACCTACAGCCAAAGAAAACCCTGTCAATGTCCTGCTGCCAGGGCTTGTAGGCTCAACCTTTGTAATGTTCAGGCTCTGTCAGAACTGGGCCTGCCCTTCCCCGCCCCCACCTTCTATTTGTTGGACCAACTACCTGGAATTCTGTCAACTGCTGCATGAGTTCTTCCTGCTCTTTGCTGTTGGTGAGTGGAGGCAGGATATTCAGGAAGACTTTGAGAAGGTCCAGACTCTCTCCAGACACACTGGACAGTGTGAATATAGGGGTGACGCTGTGGAGAGGCAAATGCATGGATGAGAATAGTCTTAAAAAGCAGTAGCCAGAGGCCCACCCATAAAAAGGTGAGCAGAGAGTCCCTTTCTGATTGTGAGCAAGCCAGGGACTATGGACAGTTAATGTCTTCAAGGTCCCAGGCATTAACAAAGCTCCAGGTTAGCTCCCTCCCACAATCCAAGCTGAAAAAGCCGAAGACATGAACTCCAATAAATCTGGCCCTAGAGGTGGGGCACCATGCTCCTGGACCTGTGGCAGCCTTCCCTATCCATCAAGGCTTTAGGGTGAGAGGCAGGCTCACTTGGGTGACTGGGCAAACTGCTGGGCAGCAG